AGAAACTTCATTTATACTCCACAAATAATAGCTGGAATTATATAAGAACTCTGGACCTAGTAATTTATCTTTTGGCACGGGAAGTGAGGTGATTCAGTTAGAATGGCATTTATTTTCATTCATTTCAACCTTGTTATTACAGTGCTACTTCTGTTAATGAAGAGAATGGCTTTTAATGATACTTTGTCACCATAAACTTTATTATCAGATGTAGAAATAATAAAAAGAGCCCCAAGGATGGATATATTCCAAGATGTGGTTTCCCTCCCTACCAGACCCCCATAGGGTTCTACCTATAACTCCCTGACCCCTCTGCACTGTAGAGGAGAGTGGAGAGACAACTTTCCCTTCCTTCAGGGTAGTTACCATTCCAGTGAGTTGTTTGCACATGACCATAGCCTAGCGGTGTCTTTTCCACTCTCAGATGACTAATTTGTGCAGATCCCAGGAGTACTGTCCTCCCCCTGCCCTTGCCCAATGCCTCTGCTGCTGCTTAGTGCCCAGAAGGCCAGAACTCCCCCAGTTACCTTGTTCTGAGACTTATTAATGGAGATAAGGCCTCATGGTAACTTAATTTCAGTCAAATATGTAGTAGGTTCCATTTTTGGTGTGTAAACCTAATTGCTTAAGCTCCCTGATTCCGTTTTTAAATTCTGAGGAATATCTTTGGGATATCCTTGTTGAGCAGCATTTTCATCCAGTCCATCAATAAGCATTTATTAAATGTCTGCTGTGTGCCAAACACTGTATAAGATGCCTGGGATACAGATTTTAGAAATGAGACAGTTCTAGGCTCCAGGGAGCTCACATCCTACTAGAATCCAACCAGAGTCAAATTATAGTTGAAACATGTGCATATCTTTTGTTAACTTTTTATTTTAAAATGATGCAGCGTGTCACTGGGGAGGAAAAACAGGATTTGAAATCTGGAAGGACCTGTATTTAGAGCTTACTGGTACTTCCTGACTGCAGTGTCCACAGGCAAGGCATTAAACTTCTGAGAGCTGTAAGCAACTCCCTGAGACATCTTAATTGTAGGTGTAATTAAATAGTTGTGGATTGAAGTCACAAACTGGCTCTGAAACGTAATTATTTGTGTACTCTTGGGGAAACCACTTAACCTCTGTGGGCCCCAGTTCCTTATCTCTTTTTCTGAGGAGGCAGTTTGACTTTATTAGCCAAAGGCAGGCCTGGCACCTTACATACTCTTGGGTGGGCAGGTTCACTTTTTCACCATCATTGGCTTCCGACTTTGCAGGATGGCACTGGCCTGGTGGAGAGTGGCCACGTGGAGATCTTTCCAGTATTTATTTTTGCCTATGATGTACCAGACACTGTTGAATGTGGCCTGAGCATTTTTGTTGATTATGGTCCTCACAAAGGAGGTGGTGAGCTTTTCTGACTTGCCCTGTGCTTCAGCACCACCATGGTGCCCTAGCTATTGGCAGCCTGCTCAATGCCTACCAACTTCCCCATTGTAATGGAATGAGTTTTGTGCCTTGAGGTTGTTGAGCTTGGTGCTGCATGTCTGCTTATTGCACTTGATGAGGAAGCTGGAGCAGTTATGAAAGACCATCCATTGCATATAGGCCAACATGGCAGCCAAGCTGACAAATTATGGGCCCAGATAGGCAACAACAGACTACTAGGTGTCTTCCCTGCAGTATGACATGTCATCTAGTGATGGAAATAGGTTTCTTCGGCCTTTCTTGTGGCAATTCAAATATCCCACAATGAAGAGAACTATACTAGGATAGTGGTAGTAGAAATAAAGAGAAGGGAACATACGCAAGAGATATTAAGGTGTCCTGGATAGGATTTGGTAACCAATTGAATATGAGGAAGAGGAAGAATGGAAGAGAACGTTAAAATTATTAACATGGGAGCGCAGGTAATAGTCAAGTCAGGAGGAGAAGCAGATTTAGGTAGAAAGATAGCAAGCTTGTTTGGGGATATGTTGAGTTGGGAATCCTTAGGGTATGGGCCCAGGGTTGAATTGGCCTCTGAGGACAAACCCCAGCTAAATTACCAAGATGCTTACTAGCAAAAAGTTGGCCATCATGTTTTGATTTTTTTAAATTTTCATGTATTTTTTGGCAATAGCCACTGGGTTCCTCATCTGTGTCCATGGAGAGAAGGGTCTACATTGATTATCTCATGGATTTTTGAAGTATTAATGTAAGAGGAAAGATTGGGAGAGAAAGAGAAAAGAGAAAGAGAAGAGGAAAGAAAAAGAGTAAAGAATGCTGGGTGTAGACCCAGAACCTGGGTTTAAATACCAGTTCTATCATTTATCATCTTATCTGTGTGATCTGGGGTAAGTTGCTTAAACTCTCTGGGCCTCAGTTTCTCTTTTGTGAAATGAAGATGTTGAATCAGAATCAGAGATGCCAGAAGCACAGTAACCCACAACACTCCTGAACTAAATTAAAACATAATTGGTAAATGTTTGACAAAATGGGCAAAAATACAATTAGATATAGATAATATTAGTATGTGGCTTTCTTGGTTAATATGTTAATAGACATCCTTATGTGTGCTTTAGTGACCCGTGTTTCTATTTGAGTTTGACAAAACTGAACCACGTGACCTCTAAGACCTCTTCTAGCTTTCAATACGTAACTCTATGAGCCCTAAGTCCTCAGAGGCCCAGGGACCAGCGCTGGAGCTGTCAGACCAGACTACAGGAATATTAGGGCATCTATAGCCACTGTGGGGAAAAAATCTGCTTCAAACCTGGGCTTTATTTTTGTCATGCAGGTGAGGATCATTTTCTTTGTTGGAAAAGGCTTGCATTATAGTTTTAGAAAACACTTTCAGTTTCCAGAGGAGACTAAGAGAAAAAGAAAGAGAAGTAGTTACGAAAATGATTCCCTAAAGAACGGCAGAGTAGGTTAAGGATGTAGATATGGAGTGTAAGAAAAAAACATTCTCAGAGGGAATCTGGTTTGCCCTGAGTACCTGAACATCAAAGCAACAGCCCTGGGCAACAGGAGGGAGTTTGAAATATTTATGAAGGGCAAATGGAGGCCAAAATATTGCTTCAACATTTCCTCCTCTAGTCTCTCTCTTAAATAAATCTTGTGTTTGATTCTCAAGGCCTTGAGTGTTTGGCAGATAATTTGACCTGTTTCAGGAAGTTCTGGAGAAGGGTATTCTTGGTAGCATGGCATAGGATAACTAGCTAAAAGATAGGATAGGGGTAGGACTGAACTTTTGATTTAATGGTATGGGGAGCTCCAGGAAGAACAAACTCCTTTCACTAACATAGGTTGGTGCCTTCTCTACAGCTTTTAGTCTGAGAGTTACCCAGAGCCCCAAGGGCTTAGGTGACTTGACTAATCCTACTTACCTTGCTAAAACTCCATCCTGAGCTTGGTCCCATAAACAATAGAAAAAAAAGAAACGTGCTGGTCCTGTAACAAATGAGGAGTTCCAAAATCCTGTTCTTGCTCGTTCAGTTTTGTAACCCTTTCCCTACCCTTGCCCCCTCACTCCTCCTGCAAGCTGGCCCACCTTGCAAGTGGATATTTGTTATTGTTACTTTTTAATTAGAGTCATTTGAAATACTTTTTATTTTGAGACTTTTTCAAGACTTTTATAACTTCCTTTAAAATGATAGCAAACACTTCAAAATATCAGCCAGCCGTAGCTTACTAACTTTGGAAGGGACCTTTGGGATCATCTAGTCTGACTTTACAGTATAAACAACTGAAGTCCATACTGGACATCATATTTGTGGTTAAACTGCAAATATATTGGCATATTCACTAATCCTTGATGCCTTCCCTGATCATGTGTTTTTAAATTGCCTTGTATTTATTTATCCATGCATATGTTGTTTGCTATAATAGGGTGTGAGCTTCTTGAGGGCAGAAATTTTTTTTTTTATTCCCTAAGACAGGGCCTAGAACTTAGTAGATGATTCTTGAATTGAATTGAGTTCTCATACCAACTAATTCTTAGATTTTTTTAATATATTAAGATTTTTTTTTAAAAACCAACATTCCTTCCTTCCCTTTTCCTTTCTTCCTTTCCTTTCCTTTCTCTCTCTTTCCTGCCCCTTGCTTTTTCACCTCTTGTTTTCTTTCTTTCCCATCCCCTCCTCTCCTTCCTTTTTCCCGTCCTTCTGAAGTGACCATTGCATTTTGGTGTGATTGTCCCTCAAAGTCTGTTATAAATTGAAATAAGGCACACTATACTATTACATAGCACACAAGACGGTCTTCTACTGGGAGAGTAATGAATGTCAACTATTCCGTTTAGCTTGGCAGGGATTGAATACGGCCTAGTGGTGAAAGGGCATAATCAGAGCCAGAATGCCTTGAATCTCTCCTTGCTTCTCATGCAAAACTCTTTTCCTATGACCTCAGCTAAGTCACATACCTTCCCCTTCCACAATTATGCCTTGTGAATGACAGGACTGTTATTGAGAGACTTGTTCCTTACAAAGTTGTTCAGACTGACAGATGAAAATCCTTGTCTAAGCAAGAGAGTAGCAGTGATTTGCACAGTGAGATTCCCATGTTGCCTTTGAACAGTATGGTGTCTTCGGTTGTCTTGAAAAATGGTTTAAGCAAGCATCATTAGTAAGTGTGACTTGTTAGTGGTTATACTCTGTCCTGTGCTTATAAAGAACCAAATCATAAATGTTTCACTGGAGAGTACTGAGAATTTTCTTACTTCCAGGGCTGTAACTGGTGTGCTGGAGTAGCCAGAATCTGGATGTGATATCAGCCTGAGCATCTTTTTTGCTGTGTCTGTCTCCTTGCTTTCCCAGACCTTTTGAATCCTTTGTGGTTCCCAGAGAAAATGTCAAACTTCCAAAAGAGGAAATGGGGCAGGCCTACTGAGGCAAAGCTTCACTGTCTCGTACAAACAGTGAAGAGCAAAATCTTCTATTAAGCTGGATGGCACTTAAAATATTAGTGGTAGCTAGGGTATAATATAATTCCCTGATGATAATGATAAAGATTTATTCTTTATTTTTGAATCCTTAGGTTCCTGCACCTGAATTGAGATGATGGGTCTAGGAAATGGGCGTCGGGGGATGAAGTCACCACCTCTTCTGGTAGCGGCTTTATTAGCCTGTGTCATCGTCTTGGGTTTCAATTACTGGATTGCAAGTTCCCGTAGTGTGAACCTCCAGGTAGGATACTTGGATTTTTCTTTAGAGGTTGTAAAAAGCTTACAGTTGCAAGAGACCAGCTAGTTTCTTGCCTTGATATGTTTAACAGGCTTCACTTACTAAGCTCTGGCTTTTTCTCTGTTGGTTTAGGAGAAAGCTGTAGTGGCCTGTAAAAAATTCTGCTGCAGTGCCAAGCCCCCCTCCCCTAGCCCCCCTTGGGTTCAGTCTTGGCTCTGTCTGTGTAGACCCCTCCCTTCTCCTCTCTTAACACACGGTTTGTGCCGAATTTGCTTTCAAGCCAAGCCACCCCGAGCACTTTTCCAGGAGAAGCATATGTTTTGTCCAACCATCTCAGCCCTCTGTGAGTCTTCTCAAGATTTCTTCTCCAATTTTTTTTCCTTGCCACCCTTTCCCACCACTTGGCAGTTCTTCAGAGAGCCATGTTAAGTGGATATTGGCAAGAGTAATTGCCAAGCTGTTTTGAATATAAGCCAGTCCCAACTTTGCATCTTTTCCTAGCTTTAAATTGGTCTTCAGTCTTTGAATTTAAGTGTAAATTGGGAGATGATTTTGGAATTATTTTGAATGGCACATATGTGTAAATATGTAGATTAATATATTACACACAAATATATATTTAAATGTTCATTAGAAATTGTTGAACATCAATGCAAACAACCAAAGTTGCTTGGTAATTGTTTATGTGTAAATTAATTTTAATGCATACATAAAAACTCATAGCACTTTTTCAGTCTTTTCCTCCAAATCCCCATCAAAATTCTTTGTTTATTTTTATTCACTTTTCATTGTATGATAAAGGTTAATGTCTAATTTTTATATAGTGCTTATTATGTTCTAGGCACTATGCTAACTGATTTACAAATATTATCTCACTGATCTTCACAATATCCCTGGGGGAGGTAGCTACTACTACTATTATTATTATTATTATTATTATTATTATCATTATTATCCCCTTTTTACAGTTGATTAAACTGAAGCAGACAGAGGTTAAGTGACCTGTCCAGGGTCACACAGCTAGCTGGTAAGTGTCTGAGGATAGATTTGTACTCAGGTCTTCCTGACTCCAGGACCACCAGGACTCTATCCGCTGTACTACCTAGATCCCTAGATCATAGTGTATATGCCATACCATAATATTTCATTAAAGAAAATGATCGTTTTTTTGCATTCTTCATATTTGTTGTCCTTAATCACATAATAATATCCATTTACATTACCGTGTCACAATTTTTTTAACTTTTCCTTCCTCCCATTTTTTTGGGGGGGAGTCTGGACTTGTGATTTCATTGGTGTGAGGCAAATGCCCTCTATGAATGCAGATCAGTGATTTTTTTTTTTAAGTGAAGCAGTTGGGGTTATGTGACTTGCCCAGAGTCACACAGCTAGGAAGTATTATGTGTCTGAGGCCGAATTTGAACTCGGGTCCTCCTGACTCCAGGGCCAGTGCTCTATCCACTGCACCACCTATCTGCCCCCAGATCAGTGATTCTAATGCAATTTATAATCTTAGACAATTACCAGGGGTCTTGAGAGATTGGCTAGTCTAGAGTCTCATAACCAGTTTGTGTCAAGGTGGGGCTCAAACCTACCACACATCCTCCTGACTTTCAAAGCTTTCTTTTTCAATAAAGTCAGGTGAGATAAAAATGTAAAGTATCTTGCAAATATTAAGGTGATATACACACATATACATATATAGATATAGGTGTATCATATACACACATGTGTATATGTATTTCTGTATGGGTGTGTGTGTATGTGTGTATGCATGTTGTTATTATTATTCTTTTATAGGCTTATATATTTTTAATCCCCCAAATCTCTTACTACAAATGACATTTAGATCACTCCTATGTTGTTATGTTGCCTTTTATATTGCAGTCATTTACCACATATCACTTTTCATGTCCTTGAATTAAACTAGTTACTGTAAATGTGAGCTATACTATACTATTTCCCAGCATTATCTACTAACCTTAACTCTACCTTCTCCTAGGAACTCTTTTTCCAGATGAAGGAGGCCCTAGGGTAGATGGAATTTCTGACATCCTGAGCTCAGAATTCATTTTCCTGTAGAAAAACCATTATAAATAGTAGTTTGGAATAGTTGAAATGGGCCCCTGAACATTTCCATGTCAGTTACATTCTGAGTTAGACAGGCTTTTGTGGGATGGCCTAGGAATCTAACCATTTGTTTTCTGTGGGAAAATGCATTCTGAGCTCCAGATTATAGAGCTATAAATTAACTTTTAGAACTCAGTTATAAAGAGGGGCCTGTTTGTAGTGATTCTTTGGCTATTTCTGTTAAGTAGTTCGGTACATCTTACCTCTCTTCTATTGCTATTATTTCTGAGTCATTGTGGTCTACAGTGGTGACTGTTTGTCTGTTATATTTTGTTTTCCATTTAGACTCAGATCTTGGAGTTGGAAGGAAGAGTCCGAAGGGCAGCAGCAGAGAGAGGTGCCGTAGAGTTAAAAAAGAATGAGTTCCAAGGAGAATTAGAAAAACAACGAGAGCAGCTGGACAGAATCCAATCCAGACACAACTTTCAGATGGAGAATGTCAATAAGATGTACCAGGATGAAAAGGCAAGACCTGTTAATTTTTAGTCAAGTTCCCTTCCTTCTTTCCACCCTACCCCCCACCTCTCTTAGTGTTCCAATATACTATAAACTGTGGGAGTACAAGGGAGTCTTTGCATACTTAATTAAGCTTCTTGTCTCTGTGTAGTTTTTTTGGAATTAATAGTATGGCATTATTTTTCCCCTCTCTGTTATAGAAGGCCCTGAAGTGTATGCACTGTGAACTTCCTTGGGGAAAGAAATAATAATGCCTCAAGTAGAAGATAGGACATTTAATAATTGCTCAAGAAGGACATATGTTTCCTTCTGGAACTTCAGGATAATTCATCTTATTTTCCTTTTCCTGAAGGGATTAGGAATAGACCATATGTAACATTTTGTATATCTGACTTTTTTTTGCGCTAGACCCCAATGATGAGTGAAAATCCTCATTCATTAAACCATTTGAATGCCTAGCAATTTTGACATTAGTGATACTCTAGAGATCTTTTGAACCTGCGACCCTTTACAATCTGCAGATCTAGTATCTTGGCCAAGACATTTTACCAAACAGGGCCTCAGCTTTTCATTTGTAAAAATTAATAGTATTTTATTTTTTTCCAATTACATGTAAAGACAATTGAAGAATTAGATTTCGTGTTTGATCAGCTCCATTCCAGGTCCTGTTACTTAAGAGTACACTTCATTTTTATGGAAAGACCTGAATGTGAGTGAGTAAAGGAAAATCAAATGCTTAGAGAAATAATATAGCATAATTTGCATTTATAGTACTAGCAGCAAGTTACTAGTAACTTGTTAACTAGGAACATCAAATGACTTTATTTTTTAATAAAAATTTTTACTTGTTTTTCAATTTACAAGTATTTATTTTCTCCCACTCCCACTACTCATTCCATTAGTAGGAAAAAACACCCTGAACGTTTGTAACAGGTAAAATAAATTCCCACGTTGTCCACGTTCAGAAATGCACGTCTTGCTTAACATCTTGAATCTGTCGCTTCTGGTGGATGATGGTTAGGATGTGGGTAGCATGCTTCGTCATTCGTGCTCTGGAATTGTGGTCAGTCATTACATTGATCAGAGGTCTTAAGTCTTTCCGAGTTGTTTGTTTTTGTCATGTTGTTATTATATAAATGGTTTTCCTCATTTCACTCTGTTTTGGTTCATACAATTCTTACCAGGATTCTCTGAAATGGTTCCTTTTCTTGTTTCTGATTCTATTAGATTCATATACCACACTTTATTTGGTTGTTCCCTAATTGATGGGACACCTTTCCAGTTTCCAGTTCTTTATTACTTCAAGAATTGCTATAAATGTTTTTTGTAGCTGTGGGTCCTTTTCCTCTTTCTTTGATCTCTTTGGGATATAGACCTGTTGGTGGTACTGTTGGGTCAAAGGGTATGCACAGTTTACTAACTTTTAGGGAATAGTCCCAATTTTTTTTTCCTAGAGTGGCTAGACCAATTCACACAGCTCTACCAACAATGCATTAGTGTGCCTTTGTTCCCAGAGCCCCTCTAACAATTATCATTGTTGCCAATCTGATAGGTATAAAGTAGTAAGTTAGAGTTTTAATTTGTATTTCTCTAATTATTGTAGTGATTGGAGGATTTTTTTTTCATATAGTTGTTAATAGTTTGAATTTCTTCCTTTGAAAAGCCTGCTGATATCCTTTAATCATTTATTCATTGGGAATGGTAGATTTTATCCTGATTTGCTGATTGCATATTGCGTAAACTGTGTTATTTCTAGTTTAAAGGGTGGTTCTTTTTATTATGCAGTTTGAAGGTACCACACCTTCAAGGTATACCACACCTAGACTTAGAGTCTAGAAGGTCTGGATTGAAGTACTGCCTCTTATACTAATAGCTATATATGATCATGGTCAAGTCATTTAGCCTCAGAGAGCCTGAGGTCTTAGATCTTTAAAATGAGGATAATAGCAGTAGCACTAACTACCTCCCTAAGTTTGCTGTGAAGAAAGCACTTTGCATGGCTTCATGCAGGGGTTCTTAACTCTGAGGAGTTCAAGATAGATTTCAGGAAATTTGCGAACTTGTTTTTAAAAATATTTTGATAACTGTATTTCAGTATGATTGGTTTCCTTTGTAATCCTGTATATTGTATTTTATGCATTTAAAACCACTTTTCTAAGAAGGGGTCCACAGGCATCATCAACTGCCAAAGAGGTCTGCAACACAAAAAAGGTCACTTCCTCTGCCTTAAAGCATTTTAAAAGTACTAAGTTATTTTTAATTTCCAGTATAAATATTTCTATCCTTTTTTTGTGTGTGTAGAATAGTTTTAAGAAACCATTATTTCAACTCTTGCTGTTGTGAGAAGCAGAGAGCCCTGTTATTGTCATTCATGAAATTCTTAACTTGGTGAAGTGGAACCTGGGATTTTCTTATGCATATATACCTACCTAATGACACTCCCTTATAATGAATCATATAATATTGTTTTATCACCTGTTCTCTGGACTATTGTAAAAGCATCCTAATTGGTATCTTTGATTCTTCCTTCTCCAATATATTTACACATTTATATATATATATATACACACAATATATATATATACAATATATATATATACACAATATATTTACATTTGCTAAAGTAATATTCCTAAAATATAGTTCTTATCATGACACCACACCCCAAAAAGGAAAAAAAAAACAGACTTCATTTGGACTCCCTATTCATTGCCTCAAGAATGAACTAGAAACTCCCTGGTTTGGCATTTAAAGCTTTCTATAATTTGACTCCCATCTACCTTTGCAGACTTACTTCATATTTCCTTTGACATCCATTGTTCTGTCCAAACCAGACTATTTGTTCCCCAGACTAGGGGTCCAACCTCCCATTCCCAGGCATTTATACAGGCTTTCTGGTCTCCATCCCTTGAATAACACTTCTTCCTAACTACTCCCTAGTACAATTTTTATCTGGCATTTAGTCTTAGCTTCTTTGCTACACCCTGCAAAAAATCTTTTCTTATCTCCTCCCCCCTCCCCCAAGCTCTCTTTAATTACTTTATATTTGCTTCTCTGTGTGTATTTTGTATCCCCCATTTTCTCCTTCCTCTCAGCACCCAGGAGACTGTAAACTCCATAAGGAGAAGAATTGTTTCATTTTTGCTTGTATCTCCAGTGCCTAGCAAGGTGCCTTGCACATAGTAGGGACTTAATATGTGTGTTGAATCAAATTCAATGCAGTTATGACAAATATAATAGGTAGAAATAACATGTAAGATGGAGGGAAGGAACAAAGCCACTATGGCTTTGCAGGAAAAGAGAATCAGTGTTTTTTTCTGTTTTTTAGGCAATTGGGGTTAAGTGACTTGACCAGGGTCACACAGCTGGTAAGTGTCAAATGTTTGGTCTGAGGCCGGATTTGAACTCAGGTCCTCCTGACTTCAGGGCCAGTGCTCTATCCACTGTGCCACCTAGCTGCCCCGAGAATCAGTCTTAAACAAGGAAGGAGGAGCAGGAAGCAGGCAGAGAAAGATGAAGAGAAGGAAGGATGGTGATGTTTTCCTTATGTTGTTCATACCCCTTTCCTCTTCTAAGCTCCTGGAACTTTGGTTGTTGTTTCTTTGGTGTGGACATTTTGGAAGTGGAGGGACGTGTGTGTGTGTGTGTGTGTGTGTGTGTGTGTGTGTGTGTGTGTCTGTGTCTGTGTGTCTGTCTGTGTCTCTGTGTTGGATGATAATGTAGTTCCAGAGCACCTGGTGATTTTAAAATGACTTTTCCCACAATGGGCAAATCATTAGCTATCTCATGCAAGCATTTTCACCCTCTGCCCCCCACCCCCCTTTTAACATATAAGGAATATTTGGGATCTGAAAGGATATGTTACTTACCTTTTATCACAAATCTGGCAAGTGCCACAGATAAGGTTTAAATGAGGGTATCCTGACTCCATAATTGGTACTCTTTCCTGTACATCTTACTTGAATGTGGGTGGTAGGACAAATCCTACTCCACTTTTAAGTTCCTAGTTCATAGATTTAGAACTGGCAGGGATTTTAGAGGTCATCCCTTCTACTCTGCACCCCTCACCCCCTGATCATTTTATAGATGAGGAAAAGTGAGATCCAGAGAGATTGTGTCTTGCCCAAAGTTACACAGATAGTGACTGTCACAGTCAGGATTTAAAAATCACTCCTAGTCTAAAATTCCTTCCCAGGCCCAGTGAATTGTTTTATCTCTCTTCTTTTCTCCATGCAAACAGTGGACAGTACTTTCTTGTGAGTGACTTGGGCACATGGGCAGGAAGAACAGAAGGCATTAGCAGTCCAGAATTATTTGGCACAGAGAATTTGTCACAAGTAGATGAACAAAGCGCTGTTGATAATGAGCCATCTTCTGTCATGTAGATACAATTTTGTTTTACAGAACGTACCTCCTGTTGCCTCTATAAGGGATTTTATAGGGTTATTTTTAACCAAGGTGGTGTGTGTTTTGTTTTGTTTTTTTCTCCTGGCTTAAGTTTGTGACCTCTTTTAAAAAATTTGGAGACCTCATAAAGGATCTTTACATCAGAAAACGAATTATTGTGTCTTTACATAGTAAAACCAGTCCTTTATCAAACATAGATCTTTTGGAAAAAACAAACAAACCTTGTGTCTGCTTTTAAAAGTTTTTAATATAATCCCCTATTGATGAATTGTAGGCAAAATTACCCTGTTTCTCTTTTCAGTGGCCTTTCTGCCTTTCTGGAAGGTTCAATAGGTGCCACTGAGTTTCAGGAATGGAGATGTTGATGAGAACAATTGCTTCCTTATTTGCCTTGGGTGAAAGTTTTTCCTAGTTGGTTGTATGAACAATAGATACATTTATATGGCAAATTTCTTAAGTGTCTTTGGCAAATTGGTTATTATTTAGGCAAGAACATAAGACATTAACTTCTTTTCATATAGTTATCAAAATATTTTATATTACTACTCTTTTGTATTACCTAAAATAAATTTTTATTATAAACTTATGACTGTAGAATTTGA